GGAACTCTCTGCCCTTTAGCATACTCAAACGTGGGAGCTCACTACTCTTCCTCCCGGTAAGCATGTTGTGGGTTGTAAATGGGTGCATACTATTAAATATTTGTCGGATGGTAGTGTGAAGTGTCTGAAGGCCAGACTTGTTGCTAAAGGTTATTCACAATTGTAAGGGGTGGACTATATGGACACCTTCTCTCTAGCGGCTAAGATTGGCTCTCTCCGTGTCTTAATTTTCCTAGCTGTTATATATGGAGCAACTATCTGTGTTTGTTGCTCAAGGGGAGGATGGTAAGGTGTGCAGATTGAAAAAGGAAATTTATGGGTTGAAACAATCGCCTCGTGCTTGGTTTGGAAATTTTAGTGAAGTGGTGAAAAATTTTGGGATGAAACAATGCCAGGTTAGCCACTCAGTGTTCAGCTACGATTCAAAAGCCAAAAAGATTTTACTAATGGTTTATGTGGATGATATTGTTATAACTAGCAGTGAAAAATTGGAGATTAATAAACTAGTCTTTCTACAAAACCATTTTCTAACAAAAGATCTTGGGACGTTGAAGTATTTCTTGGGTATAGAAGTTGCCAGATCAAAACAAGGTGTAAACCTTTGTCAAAGAAAATATGTTCTTGATCTGTTGGATGAAACAGGACTGTTAGGTACAAAACCGGCTGAAGCTCCCATGGAGCCAAATGCTAAGTTGAGCAGTGATACAGGGGAAATATTTGATGATTCTGGAAGATACAAACGGTTAGTGGGGAAGCTAAACTATTTGACTATCATAAGACCAAACATCTCCTTTGCAGTTAGTGTGGTGAGCCAATTTATGCAGAACCCTCGGATACCTCACAGGGATGCAATTCTTAGAATTGTAAGGTACCTGAAGGGAGCTCTAAGCCGTGGGTTATTGTACAAACCAGGAGGAAGACTTAAGGTAATTGGGTATACAGATGCAGATTGGGAAGGCTTAGTGTCGGATAGAAGATCAACTACAAGTTACTACACATTTCTTGGAAGAAATCTTGTGACATGGAAGAGTAAGAAGTAGACGATTGTGGCAAGGAGCAGTGCTGAAGTCGAACATAGAGCCATGACACACAATACATGTGTATTAGGATGGCTGAGGAATCTCCTACAAGAAATTGGGTTCTCCATGGACAGACCTATGAAATTGTACTATGACAATCGAGCTACACTCCATATCTCATCTAACCCTATTTTTCATGAGAGAACAAAGTACATAAAGATTAATTGTCACTTTGTGAGGGAGAAGGTCCTTACTGGGGAGATAAGCACAGAACATGTGGGCTCAGGTGATCAATGGGCAGATTTGTTTACAAAAGGTTTAAACTCAGGGAGAGTGAACTATATATGTAATAAGGTGGGATTATATGACATATATTCTCCAAGTTGAGGGTGTTAGAGCTAGCCAAATAAGGGTATTATTAGTCATTTTATTTCTTTTAAATTATTTGCTTTTGTGGCAGATTTAATAGAGACTTTTTGTCCCATACTTAAGTAGGGGTAGTTTAGTCTTTATACAACTAATTAGAGGCTAATGTAAAATATGGTCGACTGATACAGTTTACCCATCAGAATCGACTGTTCTTCTTCTTCCTTGTTCTTCTTCTTCTTCCTCCCTTCTCTCTACTAGTTCGAACTCCTTAGCACAAATGTTAAACAGGTAGGATTTCAACTTGTGCAGAAACAACATCAAGATCAAGTAATACATACTCTTCTTCATCCTCCACATGGTAATCTTGCTTGGGAAATGATTCCATTGTTATCTTTTCAGTTTTGGATTCTAAGCTAGTAGAAGAATGCAAACAACCTAAAACTAATAAGACTTCTACCTTAAAATGCAAACAACCCAAAAGGATTATACATGGTTGAATTTGGGAAGATAGGAAAGGTAGAGTCTCCAGTTATACCCAAAAGAGAGAGAGATAGAGTGAGATTACCTATTGATGTTGATGTCCTTGATGCTATCTAGTGGTGAGAGGTCAACGTCGAATATGAGAGAGAGAGATCGCGCAAGAGAAAATGACTGAAAGAGAGCAAGAAGAGAATGAGAAAAAGAGAGGGAGAGGGAGAGAAAGAGAAAGAGAGAGATTACCTATTGGTACTGGTGTGCTTGGATGCCGTCTGGTGGTGATGAGAGGCCGACGTTGACTGTGAGAGAGAGATCGCACGAGAGAGAAAGATTAAAATATAGTTGGAAGAGAACAAGAAAAGGGAAAAAAAGAGGAGGAGAAAAATCCCTAATTTGTGCCACGACTTTTAGTGGCAGTCGATGTATTCTATAGTGGCAATTTTAAATGACTGCCACTAAAGAATATTATTTCTAGCGGTAGCCAGCCTTTAGCCACCTTCTAAACTGCCGCTAATTTTCATTTTTCCTGTAGTGTTGTCTCCAAGTACTTGATCATTAAGCAATTAGATGTTCAGAATGCTTTCTTGCATGACACTCTTGAAGAGCATGCTTGTTTTGCAATAACCACCTGGGTTTATAGATGCATAATTCTCTATGTCTACCATCAAAAGTTGCCACTATATGGCTTGTAATAAGCCCCACAATCTTCTTATCACAAGCTCAGTTCCTTCTTGTTGCTTCTAAAGTGGATTTGTCTCTAGTTATCTGTATCTCTAGCACAACTGTGATGTACTCCCTCATTTATGTTGATGATACTATACTTACGGGGTCTAATTCATCTATGATTTCTTCTATGATATCTAGCATGGATAACGCCAAGCCTTCTACACCAACGGTGACCCCTATGAAGCTCCAAAAATTTGATGTGATTCTCTTTCTGCTTCTGATTCTTCTTTCTATCATAATATACTTATGGGGTCTAATTCATCTACGATTTCTTCTATGATAGCTCACATGGAAGCTAACTTTGAAGTCAAAGATATGGGTTCTCTTAATTACTTCCTTGATAATGAAGCTCATAGAGACTCTCATGACTTGTTTCTTTCCCAACATAAGTACACTCTTTATTCATTCCATCATGCAAAGACGGATAGTGCCAACCCTTCTACCCTAATGGAGACCCCTATGAAGCTCAAAAATTTGATGTGATCCTCTTTTTACTTTTGATTCTTCTCTCTATCATAGTATCACGGGAGTGTTGCAGTGTCTTACCTTCACATAACCTGATATTGCATTTACTGCAAACAAGGTGTGTCAATTTCTTCACTTTAGCTCCTAGTATAGTGCATTGTTATTCTATGGAAAGAATCCTATGTTATCTTAAGAACACCATCTCTCATGCACTCCTACCATATCCATCTCTTATGGACATCTTTAAGCATACACAGATGTCAATTGGGCTAGCTGCCCTCATGGAGGTTCCTGATCCTCTAAGAAATAGCCATTGTATTGGTCCAACACCAAGTCAGAATGCCATAGCATTTTACTCATTATTCTCAAATTGTTGCATTGAAGTCCAAGGTGACACGCCCTCCCTGTCCACTTGCTAAGGTCTAATAGCATTGCTGATGTGTTAGCTATACCACCCCATCAATATATGAAATTGGGAGTTGTAGTCAACTTAATCCAAGGTTTTAAAAACCGATCTAGAAATTGAACCACTTTGATCACCAGTTTTTAGGTTAGTGGTTCAACTATCCAAGTTGAACGATTCAGGCAATTTGGCCTTTGGATAGTAAATTTAGTATATTAGCGCTCTATCTGCTTTTATGAGAAAAGAGAGCTAGAGCTAGGTGGTTGTTGGCTGAGAGAAGTAAAAAGAAAGGAAAGAAAGGAAAGAAAGAAAAAGAAGAAGAAAGAGATGATGGTTCACCTATAATGGCAATGGTGACCATGACGATGAACTTTCTCTCATCTCAAATCTTAGATCTAGGATCTCATTTCTTTCTTTTTTTAATCTCAAATTTGAGATTTGAGATCCTCACCTCTCTCTCACACACACACACACTCTCTCTCTCTGATCTCAGATCTGAAATAGTGTCTCAATCCATCTCCCATCTCTTTATCTCTTTTTCTTCTCTATTAATAATCTTAAAAAATAAAAAATAAATATTTTTTTATTAATCTATAAACTGTTGCCTGGATCAAATAGTTTAGTGGTTCGACTGTCTAGGTCAACGGTTCTCTAACCAATTCAATGGCTTTTTTTTTTTTTTTTTCAAAAAAGCAGGCCACTTTAAAAATGGACCCAAATACACAACCGGTTCCCAAGTTAAATGGTTCGACCATTAGATTTGGTCTGGTTTTTAAAACAATGACTTAAACTCTATCCGCTCCTTTAGATTAATTTATCTTGTACTTCATTTGTATTTTTTTATCTTGTATATCAAATCCCAATTGTATATGTGAGCTTCACAATGAACCAAAAACTTTTGCTTTCATTCAAATAGTCTGTCTTTGACGAACTACATATCCCATTTATTAGGGTAAATTGCAAAACCTCCCCTATACTTTTTGTCAATTGTGGTTTTGTACTGTAAGTTATACCAATAGCACTATCTTTGAACTTTTTGACATTGCTGCATCTACATCCCTTTCCATTATTTTAAGTTGACAAAAACGGGCAAAATTACTAAAATACCCAACTTTAATCGTTTGAATGGTAAATTGGCTTCTAAATTTGCCCTTTCCTATTACATTAACAAAAAAATTCATAAAATTTGTTCTTTCTACAGTTTCTATATAGTTTGTGGAATTATATATTTTTTGAATTTTTTATGAATTTTATGTATCTTATACATTTTCTAATTTTTTATTGAAAATATATTATATATATATTTTTTTGAAAATGTGTCTTTTTTTGTTAGTATAATTTTTAAATTTTTTATCAATTTTTTTGTCTCCTACAATTTTTATTTTATGTTTTGAGAAAATATTGAATGTGGTGGATATATAGAAAGCAAGCAGGTGGATTGAGGTTGTACAGAAACTTTTCAGGGCATTTTGGCTAGTATAAAACCACATGTTTTCATCTAGGGGCAATCTTGACATTTAAAAATGTTGAATTAATGGAGGTTGTATAGAAAAGTTCAAGGGGAAGACAGTATTATTAGCAGGGTACTGAATAGCAACTGTGAGAAAGTACGGGAGAGTTTTCAATAATTTATCCAAAAGGAATTCTTTAGCAGAGAATTCCTTCACTAATGAGTAATGAATAGATCACACAATTTATCCAAAAGGAATTCCATCCGAAAGCTGAAATCTCAGTTTCCAGGCCATGGCCGACAGGCCGTGGATGGAGATTCAAACTCCAGCGAAGACTACTTGCACTTGGGGAGAGGCGGACCACACAAACACTTGTTATTTTTGAAGGAGTTGGGCCGGAACTGCTGCAGTTTTCCACCGATTGGAATCTCTCCACACAACTGATTATAACTCAAATCCAACTTTGCCAATAGCAATTCTGTCATCTGCTTTGGAATACTCCCTCGAATTCTGTTGTGTGACAAATCCAATTCCGTCACCCTGTTGGGAAACCTCACATTGGACAGATCGAAATCCAGCTGATTATATGACAAATCGTACGCCCATGCGTTATCGTTCTCCATTAATATCGTGGACGCGTCGCCTATGAGCTTGTTGTGTGACAAGAAGAGAGTGTCGAACTTCAGTCCGGCTAAAGATTTCGGGATTGTACCTGAAAGACGGTTGTGGGAAAGGTCAATCCCTGAGATGTTTTTCAGTTGCCCTAAGGATTCAGGTATAACTCCGGTGAGTTTATTTACATCGAGTTTAAGATAAACCAGGTTGGTGAGGTCACCGAGAGAAGCAGGGATTGGACCGGTGAGCTTATTGAAGGCCAAATTAATGGATCCCAAGTTCTTGAGTTGGCCGAGGAATTGGGGGATGGGACCAGACAAAGAGGTCTTAGTGATGGTGAGCACCTGGAGTTTCTGAAGTTTTGTGATGAAGTAGGGGATGGATCCGGTGAGGTTTTTGATGTTACTGAACTCCAGGTAGTCAAGGTGGCTGAGATCGCCAACAGCGGCGGGGATGGAACCAGGGAAGGTGGTGTCGCTTAAAACGAGCCACCTGACGCGGTTGGTTTGGGTGTCACAGGCCACGCTGGGCCAATCGCAGCAGTCTGTTTGGGGATTCCAGAGGGAAAACTGTTGTGGATTTAGGGATTTCTTGAGTGTCAGCAGGACTCTTTGGTCATCTGGGTGGCAGCGAATGGAGAAGGAGAGAGTGAGTGATGGGAGGAAAGATGAGATGCAGAGGAGAAAGGGAATGAGAATAGAGGAGGAGGAAGTAGTCTTAGTAGGAGAAACCATCTCTTGTTCCAGTAGTTCTGAGTAGTTGAGAAATTGTCTGGAGGTATGGAGTAACGGAGGGATGTCTTCTACATTTAAAGAAATTATGCGTGAAGACTGCAGAGGGATGAATGTCTAAATCTCTTGCTTTTCTATCAGGAACTCTATCTCTTTGTTTTTCCTGTGTGCTTGACAACTTGAGCTCTGGTAGACGTAGACTTGTAAAATGTCTACTGATCTGCTTGGTCAAGGCAGCTAAAACTGCTGAATGTGTAAGTCCACGTAAATACAACAAATGCAGTATGCGGAAATGGAAATCTCCGGTCCATAAGTACATAACATGGAGATTGAATATTTGAATGGGGTCTGGCTTTGGATTTGGATAAGAAGCAAATCCAATGTCGTTAGAATTGTTTGAAAGAGTACTGCGGTCAACAACTTCGACAATAACAATTAATTGAGTGGGTCAGCACTCAGCAAGTTGGATCGTTTAGTGTGCTTCATCAATCAAACCCAGAATATAATTCCGCGTAGCAAGCTAGTTGGAATCCCAAAAGTCAGGCGCCCGTGGGAAATTTATAAAATGTACTGTACTACCCGCCCCCATTCGATGCACGGGAAAAGCTGGAATCAAACAATAAAATAGAATGGCATAAACCAATTCACATCATACCATAGTCCATAGTTGTTCTGAATTATAGACAAATTATGTGATTTAATGGCATTTTGTAGTATGGTGTGGATTAGTCTACACCACACTGTTTTGATTTTATGTATTTCATATATATTTATAAATGATAATACATAGTTAATCATATCTAACTTTTGCCTTCTATATGATAAATACATCAATAAATTAATATTAACCAATAAATATTAATTTTTTATAAAACAATAGTAAAATAATTAAATATGATGAATATTTTGAAAAATGCATTAACTCTTACTGGTGGTGGACAATTGCAATGACGGAGAAGCTTCAGCAGGCGGGCGGTGGAGAGATTCAGCAGGTAGGCGGTGGAGACCTCCAACGGTAATATGAAATAGATAATAGGGTTTCAGAGAGACTTGTGAAGCATGAGATCAAATATAAACCATGGAGGGGATGCATCCACGAGTTTTTGCCATTGACGATATATTGGAGTGTAGACGGGACCAGTCCATGCTATATTGGGGTGTGGCATGTCCCATCCACACCCAACCGAACAAGTCTACATCTCATGGACGGGACCGCAACGGTCCCTTCCACGAAATAAACGTGATGTCGAACACCACCCTAATCAAGAATGCAAATAAATCAAATAATTAATCTTTTTGTTAATTTTCTATTAATTACAATAATCTAATATTTTACTATTAATTAAAGTTATTGGAGTAAATTAACTAATTTAGTGAAGGGATGGAAGATCCATCGTATGGACCATCGAACCCTAGAGGAAGGTTGGGCGAAATTTCAAAAATTTCTTTACTCCCATCCGGGAATCATATTCTTAATTTAGAAAAATGTATTTTCAATGTTCGTTCTTGTAACCAAACCGGACCAAATTTGAAACCAAGATTAGGGAGAGGTATACTTGATACAGAATCCATGCAAAATTGCTCCTACAACGCAGGTGTTCACACCCAAAGAGTGCACCAAATCCTCCATCCACTGAAAATGACATAGCTTAGGATGAGGCAGGATCAGCAGGTAGTTCTTCACCAAGAACCTTTAATTCTTCAACAAGAATCAAATGGGGTAGTGAGCACAGCCTCAAAATTGTTTATTCTAGCAAGAAACAATATCAAGATCAAATCTTGATTAGTTCCAAGAAATGGAGATCGAATAGGGTAGGGCGGCAAGAGCAAGGAGAGAAAGAATTGAAGGCAGAAATAGTCAAACTGAGTTGTCTTTTGTGTTGTATATTTTTCAGATCTGCCTTGCTCTTTATTTATAGCCTCAGAGATGATCTCCTAATTTGATTAGGAGTTTCTTGATCCAAATCTTTATTTGGATCTGAACTCTTTAAGTGATAAGGATAATCCCTTATCTTATCTGCAGATCAAGATCAGCTTTTCCTAATCAAATTAGGAGTTCCTTGATTCAAATCTCTATTTGGGTCTTGACTCTTTAAATTGATAAGAGTTATCATCTTATCCTTATCTACTGATCCATACCCAGATTCGCCCCTATTTAATAAATCCATTTAACCCAGTTCGAAATGGGATTTCGGCCCATTAAGCTTTCAAGCTCACTTCCTTTTATGCTAACTAGCTTGGCTCTCTTTGTATGGCATGGGACCCTATCGTTGATCTACACATCAGCCACATATGTTCATCCTAGTCTCTATTACAAGGCCTGGCTGAATTCACTGTTGAATATAGTGAACACCTGAGTCCATCACCATGGGCTCTTAATGGGCTCAACATTTAGACTAAATGGTCCTTGGGTCCAGCCATCTTATGAAGGCCCAATGACTGTGGGCAAATGCAAGATTAGCACATCAGGTATAACCCTCAGTGGTCTTACACTTAACCTCTCAGCCCTTAATAATCAAACATTGCCTGATAAGAAATGACCTCACCCTCAGCTGCAAGGTACAGTGTTGCACTCTCTACTCACATGGATCCCAGGAATTAAAACCATTTGCAAACAATTTGTGAAATCATAATATATAAGTATATCTCGATATAAATATATTATGCAAAATGAAATTTCAAACACATTTGAAATCCATTGCCGGCAGTTTAGGTTACCATCAGAGAGAGTGAATTTCCCCAATTATTCACTTTGTTCGATAAAGGGGCTGATCTTGTCACTATGATCACCCACTCAAACGGATTCTCAGACTGTCCCAACATACCCAGGTTTTGTTCCCTCTAAGAATCTCACTGATTGGCACATCAAAGACAGCCCAATCCAACACTTAGTACAGTACCATAATCGAGTCTAGGGGTCAGATGTAACATTCTAGTTTTGCCCATCTGTCTCCAAGGTCCAGGGCAACACTAGAATTTGGTCCAGTTTAGGGTTTCAAGAAAATCCACACTACATGTACCTCAAGTCTCACCTTGGCAGCTGGGACAAGCTCCCCCAACCAACATGGCGGCACATTCAGTGTTAGCCTTGGCAGGATAAATTTCCCCAGATCTATCCAATGACTATGAAGATTCTAAACTAACATGAGTCTCATATATGTCCAGTTTAAGGGTATTACACCAAGACATACCACAACAACATGAATTAAATATGTACTTTATTCATTTACAGTAATGTCATAATGTACATTATACTAATTGGAGCTAAGGGCATACACTGTCTAACTTTTAGTACTAACTCCAGTGTTTCTTTTCAACCCATCGTTGACTCAGAAAGTCGAATCATTCAAAATGTCACCCGATCATTATAGTCATTAAATATTTTATGACTAATTACAATATTTATGCAAAATTACAGTTAATTTAATGCTAATTGTAGTAATTATAGTAAATTAATTAATTGAATATAAATTTTAGTGTTTCTCAACCTACCATCTACTTAGATGGTTGAATCGTTCAAATTGAAACCAAGTCACAATTCCAGGTCAATTTTCCTAAAACCCAGAGGCTGAGATGACAAAAATTCCCTTGAACATGCCACATATCATCCTCTATATCCATATCAACAAGCTCAATGGGACACCCATAGGTGGGTTGGTTCAATTGCTACCCAGTATAGGGAGTCAACTTTAGAGATATCATGGTTTTCAAAATTGGACCGGATTGGTAAAACCGAGAACCGATCAGGTGATCGTTTCCATTTTAACCCAGAACTGTTATTTCCCTCAAAACCATTGATTTGGTCAGCGAACTACTAACCTGGTTGATCGAACCTGATGTAACCGTTTCTGGTCACGTACCAATTTTTTGGCTAAGTACCTCATCATTTGACTTGCTCCCAGGTGGCCAGTGACTCAAGAGGATGATAGAGCTCCCTGGTGGTGAACTGCCTGGTGATGAGCTACTTGGTTGCGAACTCCCTGGGGGTGAGCTACCTGGTGACGAGCTCCCTAGTGGAGAGCTACTTGGTGATGAGCTCCCTGGTGGTGAGCTACTTGGTGACGAGCTCCCTGGTGGAGAGCTACTTGGTGATGAGCTCCCTAGTGGAGAGCTACTTGGTGACGAGCTCCCTGGTGGAGAGCTACTTGGGTGGACTCGTCATTTGACCTGCTCCTAGGCGGCCTGTAACTCAGGGGATAGTGGAGCTCCCTGATGTAGCGCAACCCGACTGCCCTCTGCATGAGGTGATCTCCTCTCCTTTGTAGGCGGCGGGAGCTGAGGGACCTGCGAGAACTCCATCTTTTCCTCTTCTTTGTAGGCGGCGGGAGTTGAGGAACCTGCGAGAACTGAATCAGAGGACCCGGGGGTATTTTCCCGACGGGGACTCTTCGATGCCTAAGTTAGCCTTATGATTGTAGGGAGCTTGGAGAGAAATGAAAGAGCTAGAGAGCAAGGATTACCTCCATTTTTTCATCCTCTCCCCCTTGTCTTTGGGGGTCGGAGTCGTTATATAGTGGTGTCCTGTCAAATCAGGCGTAACAGCCTCTATCAAGTCAGGCGTAACCGCCTCTGTCTCTTTGCCGCAGCTGTTACTGTCAGAGCTGAGGTGGCGGGTGCAGGCAGCTGCTATGGAGTACGGCTCTGCCAGTCAAGGGACAACTCTCAGGATTGGCAAGCACGGCGCCGCCTAGCGAGAGACGCGGGCACAGGTCTCCGGATTTGTCAGGTACAGTTGTCAGGCAGGAGATCTTCCTGCGATACGCCGAGCTGCCCTTAAGTGCCGAGTTGCCTGTAAGTGCCGAGCTGCCCCTAAGTGGCGAGCTCTTCGTAAGACGCCAGGCTGCCTGCGGAGTGGCCAGCTTCCTGTGGCGAGTTGCCTATGCCAAGCTACCTGTAAGTGTCGAGCTACCCCTAAGTGGCGAGCTCTTCGTAAGATGCCAGGCTGACTGTGGAGTGGCCAGCTGCCTATGCCAAGCTGCCCTAGCTATACCAAGCTGCCTATGCCGAGCAACCCGAGCTATACTGAGCTGCCTATGTCGAGCTACCCAGTCGTCAAGAGGCTGCACTTGGTTTGCATGAGGAGCTAG